CCATCGTTAGTTCAGATGAACCGAATCGAACGCTGCGAAAATGTTTATGAAGCACACCACGGTGGGCGACCGGGGCGGTGTACAAGCGTGTAACATGATGCGAAGATTTGATCGATGTATTCTCTTCCATCGGCAATGTCAGTCTGATTTCAGCTTGTGCGTACGTTACGTTTCACTTTGAACGTCCAGAGGGCACGTCATGAGGTAGAACTTTTCATGGAAAGGTTTAGTTTGGGTTAGTTTATCTACACCGTTGTTCAGGTGATCTTCCAACGCCTCGACGCTTTATTCGAAAGTCAGCGTTTGTTCTATCCGCTGTGCTGTATGATCTTAAAATTGCTCCCTAATGAAGGGCATGAATAACTTCTTTCTCTCTCGGAATCATCCATATGAATTGAATGCCAGGAATCTTCGATACCGATTGAATATAAGGAAGCGAGTCCATCAGGTGATCGGAGTGTAGCAAATTTTACCGTAGGCAAGGAATTGCTTATTGAAATTGAATTGACACTTTTCACCCATTAAAGGGACAACAAGTGCATTTAGCTGTTATTGAGTGCTAGGCGGGGATTGTGAAACGTATCTGATGTCGACTGTCAATAAAGTGAATAGATCTCATTGAGGAAGATCTCGGTATCCTTTGGCGGCGGAAAATACTCCCAATGAGTCTGATGTTATCTCTTCGTCTTCGTAACGACTGAGTGACAGATTTTTGCAGGTTAAAACGTAAGAAGCAAGAAATAATCAGCGATATACTAACTGATAATCGACATAGGCCGTCATATAGCGTACGAGCAACTATCAGATCCGGAAACTTGGTCAAATTATACTCTGTCATATGAGCGGAAATTAAATAACTAAAACACCGGGCTAATCAGCGGTTAAAAGTTTCGAACATTATTACCAGAAAAGTGACGACAGCATCAGCGGCCTTTGTGTCATTTGGCAGATTGCTTAACTTTAGTGATCATTACCACCCGTCTAGGAGCGAAGGTGAATATTCTCGTGGCAGCGATGTATCCGGCAATGTTGTGTACGAATTAAAGAATATTCAGAACTCTGACATAAAGGTAAAGTAAAACAAAAGGGTAATGATCAGTGGGGTGTAGATTTTCGACTTTCGTCGAGGCGATTGTGTGGTTTCATGTTTGCTTCCTTCAGAGTGGTACTCATTTATCAGCCTTGCCAGTAAGAAATGCTACTGTTCCCTACCAGGGCTCGAACTTGGGGCCGTTCAGTTCCAAATCCGGTGCCCTACCTATTGAGCTACCCAAAGCGTAAGATATACCTTGCGAATCAGCTGCAAAGAACATATCACGAGTGCAGTGGTAATGCATTGCGCAATCTATCAACTAGTTTTAATTGTTGTTTTGGTGAAACAGAGTTTCTAAGTCGGAGCTGCGTCAAACGCACAAAGGGCAGAGGCAGACCGTGAGTTCAGACCTCGATTTGGTCAATGGCCTTTCTTTTTGAAGTAGATGAACGAACCACCACAGTCGGAAAGCGCAACACGGCTCAGAGTATATTTGCCAGATGACTATGTGCATTGTCTTTAAAATGCTCTCGCATAAACTTTGTGGAAAAGTTGCAACAAATGGTGTTCATCATGCAAGTTTAACGGAAACTGATTTTTAAAAGTTACAAACTTGTTTTTGTTTTTTAACGAGTCATTTTGCAACCGAACAACGGTAAACAGCTAGTAAAAGTCATGAACAAACTTAATCAAATGTCAATCTTCATCATCAATATATGAATTTAGCCAGGGATCACCCTTACCGTCCCCTAAATTGAATGACAGCTTCTCTGTTTCGATAGTTCATGAAACTTAGTCAGTTAATGGCTTAAGTTTTTCGATTGTTGATGTGTTAAAAGTTATTCTGACTAATGTGCTCTAAAAAATGGCTATCAGTAATAGGTAACTGTCGAGAGTTTATTTTAGTTCCTTATCGTGCATACATACCGGTCTAAATAAATTATCGCTTGCTTTGTTTGAAGCCATTTTATGGTAATTTCGCAAGGCGTGATACAGTTCAATAAGCCTATTGTTTTAGTTCATTTCGTATGTAGTATTTTGCTAGGTTTTGTGGCATTTTGCTGTCGTCGGTAATCATATTTGTCGATTACTGATCATCTTTGATGTTTGCGATCGATCGATGAACACACATCTCTTTAAATGGAGGGAAACTGACACAGATGCTACGACACGGCTCTTTTAGAAAGAACGCAACTCAGAGCTATGCTAACGATTGACCGACGTTTCAGTTTTCTATGCTGAATTTAATTGACTTAAGGGGACCGGAAGTTACCCCTTGTTTCTAATCGACGTGGGAGATCGTTTGAGCAAATCACGGATGCATTTGAGTATGTTCAGGCATTGCTGAATTGTACTTGGCATGGTTGCGTTGAAGCGTCAACTAAATCTTCCACTATCCGTAGGCAATTACACGGAATGACAAGATATAACCCCGATGTTCTGGGGTAGTTACCTCATTATGGCGTTTTCAGTTTCGCCGACAGTCCTAACTCTTCATTACTCTGCGCATGCGCATCGCCCTCTTGCTTCTGATCGCCTGGAGCTGGTGGTGGTGGTGGGGGAGGGGGGGGGCAGGCTATTTATGCAGATTGCCTGAAAGTTGGTGTA